GCCACGCTAGTAGTAACAAGTGCCTTACTAGTAGTAACAAGAAGCTAGTAGGAACAAGTGGGAGTAAGGTCAAGGGCTGTGCGGTGTAGGTGTAGGTCTTCCATGTGCGGTATTCTTAAACAAGAACTGATCTCTGACTTACCCCCTTTCGCATGCGTTTGCGGAGAGACCTCCACTGCCCGGTGCTTTCCTACAAGGCCACTCCATCTAATTTCCGCACCATTTTGCTTTTGCTTTCTCCCAAACAAGCTCCTCTCCACGGTTGAAACTACACCCAAGAACTATATAAAAATGCAACACGCACACATCTTGATGCGTGGCAGTCGGCCTCTTCGCTGGTGGCCTCTTTATCTCGCCGACCAACGGCACCAACCTGGCAGCGCACCAGGCAGCGCACTGGATGGCCTCACGAAGGGGTTCAGTGGCGAGATGCTATGGTCCAAAAAGGGATGGAGAAACTGCATGGCACAGCATGCTCCCAAAAAAACATCCCAAAACCCAACCAACCGGTAAATATTGCGCCGAACAATCCCCATCCATAGTAACAAGTGCATCGCTACTAGTAACAAGTGCATCGCTAGTAGTAAGAAGTGCATCGCTAGTAGTAAGAAGCTACTAGATTCTTTCCGCACAACCATCGAGCCATCGCCTGCCGCCACCAGCTGCTCCACCGCGTGTCGTCCTAACTTCCCCGTGGCGCCGGTCACCGCCACCGTCCCGTCTGCGCCGGTCACCGCAACGGCCAATGCCAGGATGGCCCGGGCCATGGCGGCCCAGGCGTAAGGCAAGTGAGGAGTAATGAGGAGACTAAAAAACAACTTTCTTTTGAGTTACTAATAGCAATGGCCTCCAACCTAATAACCTAATGGCGATGGCCTCCAACAGCGAGGGCCTCCAACCTAAGAGCGATGGCTTTCAAGATGAGGTAATGAGAAAACATGTGTGACATGAGGTCTCTGCTACTTGCAGTGGTGGGGTCTTCTTGGGTTCTGCTGTCAAGCGTCCGGAGCCTTCGAAAGAGGGTTTTGGCTACTGTTTGATTTCTGAAGAGGATCCCTAAAAAAGAACGATGCTGAAACCTTCAGTTCCATCTCGGTGTTTCTTTGTTGGGATCGTCAGTTGAGACGTCTTCAGTCTTCAATGTCGCCCTGACATCTTCTTTCAGCTATGTAGGTTTTGAGAAAACATAGATCGGGCCTTGACACATGACACACCTCCAAACTACCAGGAGTTCAAACAAAGCGACCTTCCAACAATCCCAAAAATACGTTTGGCAATGGATTTAGACTGTTTGGCAACGTCCGCCCAAATTGGAACAAGGATTTAGGGCGTTCCAATTGCAGCTACGTGCCTGATGACTTCTTGTTTTCAAGCACTCGCCGGCAGGAGAGTAACTTGCTTGGCTCATATATGTTGATTGGTAGGATGCTGGAAGCAGGGCAGCCTCCGAATGTACACATCCCGAGAGTGAACGGAGTGAAGAGTGTGCAAACAAACTATCCAATGAGCGAGGAATTGCGTCCAACATCGTGGTGACCTTGTGCCTCATAACCCGTTCTCGGAACTCACTATGTCCACATTGCAAATTGTCGCAGTATACATTCGCCGATCATCCTAAGATCTCTCTTCTCTCCCACACACAACTAGAGCAACTCCAAACGCACCTCACAGTCCTTCCCCATTGGGGGGTACTGGAGGTTAGACCTTTACACCAACAGTATGTACCAACACATGCCTGAAGCCCCGCTAGTTCAACCGGATATCCCCTGGCCAAACAATAGCGAATTAAGTAAACAAAAAGGTGACGATCAAGTCCATCAAGCATCTAAATTTCAAATTTAAGAATCCAAGGAAATTGTATAAAGCGAGACTTTTGTACGAAGGCATTTCTTAACTCGTTGGTACAGGTTATGGCGTTTAGCGAATGGTAACTCATCAGGCAAAGGCTGTGCAACTGTAGCACACTCAAGATCTCTCTTCTCTCCCCAAAAGCTTGCCCCAAGATTATCGTTCAACACATCAAATTCAAGGAAACCTGAAGGGAACATACTCTGTTTGCCCTTGGAAGCTTCGTCTAGTATGCAAGGCATCGCATCGCACGAGACTACTGCTACCGGTGCAGCAACAACATAGCTAGAAAAAAGTCGACGTGTTTGGACCAAAAACTACCCAGTACTCTCTACTTAGAATGCTTTTTGACACATGAACTCCAGCACAAGCGATGTTTCCTTTGTTCCCCATCGCTAGTAGGTTGGAGGCCATCGCTTGTCCCTTGTTCCCTTGTCCGACGTCCCTTCTGGGCATTCCGGGCTGATGAGCGGCCCAGCCCAGCGGTGCGCGCCAGTCGGCGGCGCTCCTTTTGGATGGCCAGCTGTTCCTTGCGTTCGCAGTTTCCAATGGACGAGAATTTCTTTTTCACTTGGGTGACGTGAAGGTGGTCAGAAAGGCAGTTCATGGTGAGCAACAGGCATGATAGGACAAGGAAACAAGACCTTGGAAGCCCAAAGGTTCGCCAATGAATACCAAGTCACTTGTCGGATAGCACGGTTAGTTGACTGTCATTTTTCGTTGTTGAATACGACTTGGCCAGGAAGTGTAAAGGTCAGGAGTGTGTCAAAATCTCCTTTCCTAACATCACAGGAAACCCTCCCAGGAGCGCGGTCGCTGGCCACCTCTTGTGGAGAGGGCAAATCTTTGGGTCCTGACCACCCTTTGCTGCATCTTGCTTCCACATACAAGACGTCTTCCTCTTACACGGCTTTCGAATCTTTTCAGGATTGTAGGATGAGGTCGCCTGGGGGAGCTTCAGCCATGCAAAGAAACTCGCAGCCATATATACAAGTCCATGAGTTCCTTGGACAATAGATGTTGCAAGATCGAACATTGTCATGTCAAGATGGAAGGTGGCTAGAAACACTTCTTAGATGTTTCGATGGGACTTTCCAAACGACATCAGCTGCCATCACTCAAACGACGACATCCGAAGAGTGCCGGCTTTCACCATCGTCACGACGGCAGAGGCTTCAGGCTGAGGCTTCAGGCTGAGGTCCACAACTGCCAGCACATCAGGATCCTACACATGCAGCCGCTCTCCTGCCTGAGAAAGGTGCCGTTCGCTGCGCAAGGTGCCGTTTTATACCAACAGGGTGGATTTGGAAGGCAAATCATACGGGTACAACATGGTACAACACTATGCCACAAGACCATACGAGACCTGCAGAAGGACAACAGAAGTGTCGCAAACTTTCTGAGGACCTGGCTGCAAAACGGTCTTCCTCAGCGTTCCAGCGGCTGGAATGTCGCTGCCAGCGAGTGCAGCGTTTTGGGAGTGCGCAAACGCTCGTGCTGTGCAGCAACAGAAGCAGCGGTGCTTAAGTTCGGGTGCCTGAGGTGCAAGTAGGTCAAAAAACGACACGGTATCCTGACAAACCGCGCAGAACCCCAAGAGACATGGAGATGCATGATCGCCAAATGCTATCATCTCCAAGCTTTAAAAAAAATATATAAGGTAAAGAATGGCACGACCCAGAATTTCAATTGCGTTTTGGGGCCAGCCGGAAAAGGCAAGAACCGATTTTCATCAACATGAAAAACCGAAGTGTCCGGCCGTGTCCCGCTTCATTGGGCTGTCGGACAGCTTCAAGGCGCTCAAGGCCTTCACGTTGCCTTTGGCTCGGGCCAATTGGCCTCCAAGCACGTGAAGCCTCCGGCCAAACAAACAAGAGAAGGCTTGGGAGAAACACGGGCGAACATGGGAACAGTGATCATCACTGATCACAAGTTGACTTCTCAAGACTTCAGTAGGTTGGCGAACGTTAGAAACACAGAATGATGCAGGACATTAAAAAACTGGCCGCTCGGAGAATCCGTCGATTCAGTTGAATCGAGGTCTAGAGTACCAGGGTTCCTCTTGGCCATCCATTTCAGGAAAGAAAAAAAAGAAGAAAAAGGTCAGGACCTCTTTAAGTAAGGCCCCCTTTCAAGGGAACCTTGTGAGAGAGGCTCCTCTATAATTCGCCTCTTTTTGCTTCATATACTATAGACTAATAGGACAGGTAATTGTACATATATTTTCTATGTTTTATCTTGTTTCTCGTCGTTCCTCTTCACTTTCTCCGGCCTTTCACTGCGCGTAAGGTCTTTCCACTCCGTGAAGCTCTCCGACAGGATGCCCCTGCAGTCTCCGAGGCGTATCATCTCTGTGGGAATATCCGATCATCTTCTAGTATAGCTTCTTGTTCCTATAGTAGTACGGCCAGGAGCCCCTATTAGCGTCCTTGCTCCTAGTAGCGATGCCAGGAGCCCCTAGTAGCTTCTTGTTCTTTTTGCGCTTCCGATCTGAGTTTCTCATTGAGTTGAGCGTTGGAGGCATTTTCTGTATGAAAGAAAAACAGCTCCAGCTGGTGCGCACCATGCTGGTGGCCCAAATGTCTCGCCTTGTCTGACCGTGCGTCTATGAATCCGCTCGAATGCTGCGCGGCGCTTCAGCAACATTCCGGTGACTTCAAAACTAGCATAGTAGCATCCGAACGCTCCTAGTAGTAATGCCAGGAGTGCCCTGTTCGTAGCTTCCTTGTTACTAGTAGATTTGCCCTTTGCTACTAGTAACTTCTTGCTCCTAGTAGTAAGAATGCTACTAGTAGTAATGCACTTTCTTACTAGTAGAAATGCCCTTCGTTCCTAGCAGCATCCTTGTTACTTGTTACTAGTAGTAAGGCCAGGAGCTACTAGTAGCGTCCTTGCTCCTAATAGCGATGCCCTTGTTACTAGTAGCTTCTTGTTACTAGTAATTAACTCTGTCCCTCCAATGGTTTGGTCTGGTGGCGATTGACCCTCAGGAGGATTTGCATTTGAACCTCTTTGCCTTTACCCCCCTGCCTGAGGCTCTTCAAAACAGCCCGCTCTGCCGCGGAGCTTCTGCGAGAATGTCGTGCCTGAGGTTCTCTTCTTGGGTTTCACGTTTCACTGCTACCCTCCTTCTCACTGGGTGTCAAACCAGGGAGGTTGGGAGGGATTGGTGTGGTGCATCGGATTCATTCCCGACCGCCTTCGGGGCTATGCCACAAAGAACAAACCAATCAAAGGCCAGTTTGAGACGCATGGATGAAGAAATCTCGCAATGGTTGATACTTCACACATTTCATCAAGTTTCCCCAGTCAAAAACACGTGTCCCCAGTCAATTCAAACAAGAAAGGTCGCTACTAGGATGGACGCCATCGCTATTAGGCTCCTTGTTCCTAGTAACTTCTTGTTCCTAGTAGTAAGGCCAGGAGCGCCCCTAGTAGTGTCCGAAAGCTCCGTTCGTAGCGATGCCAGGAGCCCCCAGTGGCGAGGCCATAAGTAGTAGCTTCTTGTTACTAGTAGCTTTGTTACTAGTAGCTTCTTGCTCCTAGTAGTAAGGCCAGGAGCCCCTAGTAGCTTCTTGCTCCTGGTAGTAGGGCCAGGAGCCCCTAGAAGCGTCCTTGCTCCTAGTAGCGATGCCAGGAGCCCCTAGTAGCTTCTTGCTCCTAGTAGCGATGCCCTTTGTTACTAGTAGCGAGGCCAAAGAAAGGCCCCCGACTCCGCTCCGCTTCGTCCCGCTTCGTCTCGCCGTTCCGAGACGTCGTACGGCTCGCCTTCGAGACGTTGCAGTGCCGCCACCAGGCACCGAAGGCCAGTTGAAGGCTCTGCTCCGAGGAGGCGGACCTCGAAAAGGTGGTGTAAAAGGGTCCGAGAGGTTCTAAGAACCTAGCGATGGCCAAGGTCCCTAAGTTCATTGAAGTTCTGAAGGAACTGCTCAAGCTTTTTAAGTACACTCTAGCTTGGTACTAGTTCTGGTGAAATCAAGAAAAGTGTTCTGAAGTCATGACATGCATCTTGGGCAAGACAAGCAAGATGGGGCCACGGATTGTTCCAAACCAAAGGTCCCCCCATTTCAGGCCAACAGTTCCCTTTGGTTCACTGGCTTCGTGGACTGACCGAGCGAAAACTGCGCAGGTTTGGAGTCACCTTTCGTCCAATCGCACCAAGTGTCCAATCCCCACCTTTCGAGGCTACAAAAGAACAAACCCCATTTGTAGACAGGTTGTTGCTGTCCAATTTGTTCAAACTATTCTGAACAAGGACATGTTCCACACTGTAAGAACCTGTTTTTCCGCGCCAGAGAGTCACGAGTCTAGACGATATGAGACGTGTCTGACTTGTACGATTGACACACGCAGGTGGGGCCACAGGCTACACCAAACACTTGGAGGAAAGAGCCGAAGGGCCTTCAGGGCATCCGACTTGGTCTGACCTTGTACACTCTGATGAAATATCTCCTGTGGTCAAACATTTGGTACGAGAATGTGCCACCACCATCAGCATGCGAAATGGACGTCAATGGGTTATGTTCAAAAGTGGGGATGAGGGTCCCGAGCGCTTGTTCCAGGCCAGCTAGTCTCATGTCCGTTCAGTTGGTATGTGAGCACGCAGATCCTGTGAACGCCTTGTCAAAAGATGAGACCCCAAACAATTTTTTTGACCACAAATGCTTAAAGGGATTTTGAGAGGTTCCCGAGGAGCCTGCCCTTCCACTTCCAGACGATCCGCGACGATCTGCGAGCTCTTCTTTTGACATCTGTGTAGCGGCTTCGTCACATGAGTCACAGCCTTCAGCTGTCCACCTTGAAAAGTGCTACGTGCCCCGATTAAGAAACTTCCTTCCGAGGAAGCCCATTTGGCAAGAAAGAAGTGATTAGCGGGGATGGCGCCAAGGAAGGTTGACCTTCTGGCCTAGAGGATTGATTTGGTGGATAGCCTGCTTCAAAAAAGCGTGCAGCGTCTGATAGGCAAAGGACTGGTCAGAGTTGCAAAGGGAATCTTGTTCCTTTCGATTTGACAACTGTGATCAACCCTCACATGCCTTCTGCATGGCCGAAATGGTCACAGCACTTTGCTGCCCTGGCTCTTGGCGCTCCAAAATAGGCGCTTCAACTGGCATTTCTCAGCGATTGATTGGCTCATCTTGACGGCTGCTCCTTGCTTTGGCGGAAACAGTCTGCCTCCAGCTTCTAAGTCTTTCATGTTAGTTTAGATGCACGAATCTACCATCTTAACGAACCAACTCCATGTTTCCTCAAGCAGAGTCTCTCCTCGGAGAATTGAATGGGATCCACAATCGGAAAGAAACGTGTCCCTCATGCCCACCCAAAGACATCCGAAGACGAAAATCTTTGGCCAAACAATAGATTCTTCGCTCAAATTCACTGACCGAGCATCTCTACTTCCCTGGCCGCCTGGTGCTGTTGCTGGCGGCGATAGTAGGAGACATACGCAGGCTCCACACATAGTGCCGAGATCAATGTTGAAATCTGAGGCATAAGATCACGCATAGTGTTCGGCACAAACATATCACTTTGGGAGTCTACCGGATGCCCATTCTCGCCCACCCGCTTAACACATTCAAATGACATATAGTGAAATGAATGAAATGAATGAAATGAATGACATGACATGTTTCATGTCACATTGTGGCACACCTCTTTGATGCAAAAGACAAATGAAAACACCATAACTTATAACAAAAATAACACAAAAACGTCTCTGAAGCGAAGTCATCGTCACTTCTCCTCCGTGTCTCGAACGGGTCTCTGGACGTGGCTCCGCTCTGCGGAAGTCCAACCGGTTCAAATCCACTTGAGTGGCAGTGCTCCCCATTCGCCGTTCGCCCCACGTGGCCGTCGAAAAAACGGATTTAAAATAGTATGCGTCTTGAGCCAAGAGACGAGCAGGCATCGCTACGAACGGAGCAAGGGCATCGCTACTTTAGCCATGACATGTTTGACCTCAACGATTTGTGCTCTGCAAGTTGTTGGCCCGGCAAGCTGACCCAGAAACCATTGGACACCCAGCTAAATTGTATAACACAAATCAACTATCATGCAAAGCATTGCAAAGCCATAGCTCGCTAGTAGGTTGGAGAGGCCATCGCTAGTAGGCCTCAGGTAAACACACACACACACAACAAAGGCACCCATCAGGATAACTGAGCTGCGCGCAGGTGCTGCAGAAGTTGCTGTTTCCGTTTTCGCTTAGCCAAGCCTGTTCAGCGTTTGCAAATGCTTGGGCTGCTTGGGGAGTGTTAAACGACATCTTCAGATATGTTCAACTGTTGCCTTATGTTTATCTCTCTCTCTCTCTCTTCACTGCTATGTCTTTTCATCCTTAAGCCTCAACCGGTCCTTATTGTGAGTGAACTGATCCTACAAGAGATGCTGGAAGAAAAGCATTGGTGCCTTTTGCGAACGTGCCAAGTGACCACCAAAGGAGTGCCTCGTTTTGTGTACTTCACGCCTACACTCCTTCGCCGTTTAGCAGGCGTTGGGGCTAAATCGATGTGGGGACCCACTCCCTGACAGTGGCGGACAGTGACGTTGGGGCTGAATCCTTTACACATTGTCAGGGCTGCGCTGTCGGAAGAGTTTGCTGTGGGACATGGAGTCTTGGGCCTATTGCAAGTGGAAGGTTCCAAAGTTCCATACCGCTCAGATTTGGAAGATCCCGACTCTCCACCTTTTTTCACCTGTGCATGATTGGGATTAGTGGAAGAACTTCCAAGAAAACTGCCGGCTTGCTCAGCGCCTTTGGCCCAAGCAGCCCATACAACGCCCACTGTGGCTTGCAGTCCTGAGACAAGTGGGTTTGTTCACCAGGTTTTACCAGCAACCTGGCAACTCAAACCCGTAAATGCAACACTGACAAACAAAGAGTAGAGTAACTAGGCGCTTAGGCTTAGTCCACTTGAAAAAAAGACCCAACCCTGGGCAGCAGCTTCCAGCTATAAAACGCTCTAAATCCCACTGCCTATTGCGGCCCCACTTCCCATCTGGGCCACCGAACCTACAAGGACAGTCTTTTGCACCGCCTGAAAACGCTGTGCCTCTGCAGCACGCTGGGCCTGCCGGGGACGGTTTCGAGACCGAAGAAATGACATCAGTCCGAGGTTCCGAGAATACTCCGATCCAAAGGACACACAAAGGAAGAAAGGTCCGAAGAAAGACAAAAGGAGAGAACCGTCTAAGAGAACAACAAGCTAGGTTTCAACATGAAAACATCTTGATGTAGGCGCAAGGAGTTTTTGTAGGCTCTTGGCCAAACAAACTTCTTCGGACCCCAGCATCGCAGTGGATGATTTGCGCAAAGGGTTGGATCTTCGAAACAAAGAACTTGGTGCAAAGGTTTGGTGTCTGTCTTAGTTGGGAATGCAAAGCCACAGACCGTGCGTGTCTACCGGAGGCCCACACCCAGTGGCTTGATGAAGCCCCGTCAGGGAATCTTCAAACATTCATTTTCAATTGTCTGTTGCACTGCCACCAATGCATGAGATCATGCAAACGCCACATATCGATTATAATTACCAACCCATCGAAGCCATGCTACACGAACATGCATGTATTAACATGCATTAACATGCATGTCCTGCATGTCCTGAACTCACGAGGTCCGCCCTTCCGCTTTCGCTTGTTTCCTCTCACCGTTCTGTGCAAGGAACTTCAAATCGCTTGCAAGAAATTTAGATCATTCTAGGAAAGAACACAATCAAGTTGGGGTACAATCAGTAACATACACGAAACCAAGAAACACCTAGATTCTAGATATTTTCTCGTTACTGCACACGCAAAAGAACTACAACCCTAGAGTCTTATGTGATGGGATTGACCCCAAATTGCTCTTTGATGACCGGACCCCTTAACGGCAGGCTCTGCCATGCAGCTTGATGTCCGGCATCGCAACTTTCAGAGCAAAAAATTCCTTTAAAAAGTTGGCAAGAATAGTTTAGTCGGCATGAGAGATGGACAAGCTGGTCAGTGAAGCACGGGCACAAAGAAAGCGATCATGTTCAAGCATGTTCAAAACACCATCGCTACTAGATTGGAGGCCATCGCGAATAGGTTAGGTTGGAGGTCATCGCTATTAGAACACCTCTAGAAACTCCCCGAACTTGTCCAGATTTTGCCCCATTCTCAGCCGGTCTATGGTCCGGGAGCAAGCGGTCCCATCGCTCCAGGATGTCGCTGAAAGCGCTGAACCGGCGGTGCGCGAGGCTGAAAGCGCTGCACCAAGGCCTCCATGTACTCCTCACGTTGAACAACACGTCTTGAGATCGAACCAAAAGACACGTTGGCAAACGGATTGTTCAGCTGCAGAGGTGAAGAGAGTTGAAACGGCTTCTACTATGATTAACAAACTATGATTATGTCATGTCAATTAAAAAATCAAAAAATCGTATTTTTTTTTTTACATATTGAATATATATATATATATAAATAACAGTCATTTCTTAATGCTTCCCCAATAGCAACAGCATGGGGTTGAACACTCTTTAGGCAGCTGGGCGGCCTGGGCAGTGGTGTCCCGGTGTCTCGGTCATGTTTAGGAAGTGTCTGTCTGGGTCATCGATTCTGTTTTGGCGGTTCGCTGATGTTTTGATGGTGTCCTTATGTTGTGGTGTCTCGGTCTCAGTCTGTGTGCTTGCAAGTCCATACACCTGGTGCACATTGCGCACTGACACTGAAACATCATATTGCGCGTGAATGTATAAAGCCTATGTCGACATGAAAAATACTGCTTCGCTTGAGAAGAGCATCCCTTGAATTGCCTTGGTATAGAATCTTAGTTGGCGGGCAAATGCATGTTCTGCTTCTGTGGATATTCGTATTTTTTGTCCCTTTTGGAAACACATTAGTCTTCTTTATGTATTAACTAAGCGCTCGCATGCCCAAGCACGTATATCTTCCGTGGCGCAAATACTTAAACTATGCTCCCTTTGACAACTGCATTTATTGCACCTGTCGTGTATAAATAGTGCGTACGTTATTGAAAATATATGGTCCTTTCTTTTGGTAGTGGCGTTTTATTGTCATATGTTCATATTGATCCCCTACGATATCATTTGAAATGTATCCTTCTTGGTGTGTGTGGAAATTGTGTGCGCCCATGTTGAAACGCCTATGGTGCTTGGTGCGATGTCTTTTTGGTATATGTTTTCCGCTGGCACTTGAATTCTTTTGATTTTTTGTGAGTATGTTTCTCCATTGCAAAAACGGTTTGTGGGCACTTGAACATGAGTTTCGGCCATCGGCAAACATTCCTTGAGTGTCTCGTGGTCTATGAAAGCTACATGTTGTTCAGATAGTGAACTTGTTTCAGTAACACTAAACTGTGTGATTACATTGCAATGTTTTGATGCTGGTGGAAAAGTTCTTTTGACATGTAAAAAACTCCTTGCTTGACACTGCGTTTCCTGTATCGTTCTTGTATAAGTTATGCGTTGGCCCATGTACATACGTTCGTTGCTTTGATGTATATTTCCTGCTTACTGTTGTAAACCTCATCTCTGCTTTCCCTATTCGCTTGGTTTGCGTGCTTTTGTATAAACTATGCCTTTGGGTGTCCAAACATGTATCTTCCCTGGCGCCAATACTCCAAGTATGTCCTCTTTGGCAGCTGCATTCATTGCACCTTGCATGTACAATTATTCAATGCTTTTTCCTGCTTCTTTGGTGTTCATTTTTTTTCCGAATAGAACTTGCACGCGTATGTATGTATGTATGTATGTATGTATGTATGTATTTATGTGATGTAATGTAATGTAATGCAATGTCTGCAATGTAATATAATGTAATGTAATGATGTAATTATGTATGTATGTATGCATGTATGTATGTATACCTATAGACGGTACGATTCTTGCCAATGTGCTTGATTCTTCAGACCTATATATACACCATGTCGAATATCGAAGGCAAGTTTTAAAAGCAAAAATATACATGCAGTGCAATCCAATATATAGTTTGTGTATGTTCTGACCACGAAGCACTTAAGGAATGTTTGACTATGGTCGAATTGTATGTTTCAAGTGTTCAAGTGCCTAACAACGCAACGAACGCCGCGCACGCAGAAAACATGCGCCAGATCTTGGTTGACGCTTTGCTATTGGGGTTGTCAGCTGGATTAATTTGAGCTGCAAAGCAACGAGTTGAAGGGTCTTCTCCCAAAACTGGTTCCTGAATTGAAACCGAGACTCTTTGACATCCATGTCCTCAACCACCGGCTGAAGGAGTGGCCAGCTTTGGGATCTCACCAAGTCTGGGTGCCTCTTCATATCGATGAACGTCGACTGATGGCACAAGTTCTGCATGGTGCGGACTCGCTGGACCGCTCTGGATGGAGCGGACCTTAAAATGTTCGACCTTGAACCTGGATGCTGCGGATGCTACGAACGGAGCGGCATCGCTACGAACGGGGCAAGGCGGTGACGACACCGGAGCTGGCCGGCATCCGCACCGATTCAGGCGAAGCCCGTTTGACCGTATCGAACCCGCTCTAAGATCCAAGGTAGGTTTCGTATTTTTTGGCGAACATGGCCCCTGTGAAATCCTGCAAACCCCATGACTTGAGATTCACATCCACCCAGATCTGTCTGCCTTGCAAGCCGCGCACCAACCAGTGAAGGCCATTCCCAGCTGATCTGAGGCCAACTGAGAGATGACCTGTCCACTGCACTGAGAGATGGCGTTCATTTGCTTTCATGTTGTTATTTGTTTGTGCCTTTATCTTTTTCTGTCCTTTTCTGTTTTTAGTTGCAGTTGCTTTCATTTATTTGTTTAAGCTTTCAGTTTGGACTGAAACATGTACAAGGACAGGTGAAGAAGATTTACATGGCTTTGTCGACTGAAACTACCTCGCAGAAGAAACCGTGGATTGCAGTTTGGTCAACCGGTCAACCACCCATTTGACCGTCAACTCGTGTTGTGTGTGATGTTGCATGACTGCATGACTGCATCGTACATGTTTTATTGACCCCTAAATAGATAATTATATAGAAAAGTGAAAATGTATTGAAGAGTGTTTTAGGTTCCGTTTGTATCTATTTGGGGGCCCACTATACAATCCCCACCTGGAATCCACCTGGAATCGTTCACACTCTCGTTCACCTTAAGCACGCTGCCCATTCTCGATCGCCTTCTGGGCTTTGAGCTTTTTCTCTTCGCCGGAACGGCGCTCTTGCACCATTTGATGCCAGGCCTCACCGGCAACCAGTGGTAATGGCCTCCAACCTACTAGCCTCCCTGAAAAGGCTACACCTAGCACTCTTCACTACACCCAGAACTACTAGTACTGTTTCATTTCGAGTGCAAATGCACCTTGGCAGGCCAGTTCTGCCACTTCTGACGATGTGGAGTCACAACGTGGGGCCGGTGTTCGGGGTCGGCGGGGCGGGCTGAGGTCGTCTCATGTTCGGCCTTCATGCTGAATGATTTGACTGGTCAAGCTGGCATAGTCTCTGGGTCTTGGTGAAATTGAAAGGACATGGACACATTGGAAAATTCTAAAATCATCCAAAACCTAGTCTGAGAGCTCAGATCAGATCCAAGCAATCAATATGAGTGTCCATGTGTCACTTCTCACCAATCACACTTAGACTCCTCCGACCCTCCAAGGCAACAATGTCGCCAACAAACGGCTATTAGGTTGGAGGCCATCGCTGCTAGGAGCAAGAAGCTACTAGTATGTCTTTGAAGCTACTAGTAACAAGAAGCTATTAGGGGCTCCTGGCCTTACTACTAGGAGCAAGGACGCTACTAGGGCTCCTGGCCGTACTACTAGTAACGGGAAGCTAGTAGGTGGAGGCCATCGCTATTGGGTTGGAGGCCATTGCATCTTGCCTCGAGGATGCAGAAGAGCTCGGCTCCATGTAGCATCCCAGTGAGGAGGATCCGCGTCACCTCCTGAGATCGGTGAGGCGGATTCCGCGACGGCCGCGTTCGTTGGCCAAAACAAGGAGTGAGGCCGGAGCTCATTTACAGCTCCGAGCTCTCCATTGTTCGCTCTCCACGTCCGCTCCGAAAAGGTGAGAGTGGATGACGAGAGAAGGACCACCCCTGGTGGTTAATACTAGTAAGAAACTAGGAAACAAGTGCATCGCTAGTAGTAACAAGTGCCTTACTAGTAGTAACAAGAAGCTACTAGGAACAAGTGCCTTACTAGTAGTAACAAGAAGCTACTAGGAACAAGTGCCTTACTAGTAGTAACAAGAAGCTACTAGGAACAAGTGCCTTACTAGTAGTATTTAGAATGGATTTGTGCCTGGGCGGTTTATTGAATTGCTCCGCACGGCAAAGAAGGACACGCAGCTCGCTTGGTCACCCACGTGTTTGTGGTGCTCAAGTCGAATGAGGGGGTGAACCCCTCACCACCACCCTTCAGTAAAAACATCGTCAATGTAGAATGATGGTGTGGATTCTTGAAACGTCCTGTTTGCCGGCAAAACATTTCTTGTGGAAATCGTGCAACAATAGAATGCTACTCTCAGTGTCGGATGCGATGTTATTTCTCACAATGCAGATTTCAACTGGACGCTTTTCGATTGACGCTTCAGAACTGAGGCCCATCGTATCATTTCCACCATTAAAGAAGCCTTTTTGAAATAAGTGTGGCTTAGAGGCACCAGCAACCGGACAACTTTTTGCTGCACGCCATTGGGAATCCCTGCCCGAAGTTTCTTATCCCGGAGCATTTCTTGCCTGACAAGCATCTCTGAGCATGAGAGGGTGACAAACAATACCACTTCTACCTCTAACCGATGGCCTCCAACCTCAGAGCGATGGCAATGTGAAAGACTCTAAAGAGACACCCCGCAATTGATCTTACAAGATGCCTGCTATTCATAGATCCTCCAAAAGGACACTTTATGAAACAAAATGGAACTTTCTGTGTCTTGGCAGAACCTTGTCGCGTCTCAGTCGGGGGTGACTTACCCTACCTCTTTTCAAACCCCCGAGGCTGGAGACTCAGTCTTACAAACTTCTGGGAGGCTTAGGATCTCAGTCTGAAGTGCCACAATTCCGTGCACAAGAAGAAGCTACGAACGTAACAAAGGGCATCGCTACGAAGGAGCGATCGGACGCTGCGAATGGGGCGCTCCTGGCCTTACTACTAGGAACAAGAGGACGCTACTAGGAACAGTGCACCCCTCTCCCTCTCCCCCTCTCCCCCTCTCGTGCAGCCTCCGGCGAGTTATTCCTCGGTGCAGTTTGCTGCGCTGTCGCGTCTTCTTGTTGCCGTGTCTTCTTCGGCTGGTCAAAACCCACCAGCAATGACTTGAAGACATTTCCCCGATCTAGCAAAGTGAAAAGGTCGAGTAGTGCTTCTTAGATTTCGTGGCTGGTGTTGGACCCGTTTTCAAATTGACATGCAATATGGCACTACCAAGAAGCTACTAGGGGCTCCTGGCCATACTACTAGGAGCAAGAAGCTACTAGGAACCCGGGCATCGCTACAAGAGAGCATTCTTACTACTACAGTAGTAACAGGAAGCTAGCTGCATAGCAATGGCAATAGCTGCATAGCTTTTGCCCCAAGGAAGTGAAACATCCATCATCCCTCATCCCTCATCTTCGCTCGCGAGCGGCGATGGTCGCGGGCCACTTGAAACCAGGTCTGCACCACCGACTCCAAGAGCGCCTGAAGTCGGTGCTCTCAATTTGTCCGCCATCTGAGCCATCCTCTAAGGAGCAAGGACGCTTCGAACGGGCTCCTGGCCTAGTAAGAACGCTACTAGCAACAAAGGGCATCGCTACGAACGGAGCGTTCGGACGCTAGTAGGTTGGAGGCCATGGATCTTCATCTGCGCCATCCTCTAAGTGGAACAAAATGGATGCAGATGAGAATTGACGAATTCTTCGTCTTGACTCTAGCTCCGTACGGCTCCGTACACGGCTCCGTCCACTTCAGCCACCCGGAGACCCCGCCGTCGTTTGATTGAAGAAGCTCATCTTCAACCGCTGCTGCCGTCGCTCTCGAAGCCGACCTGCTGGGTGTGGTTAGCACAAAGCTCTGTCTGGGGAGGGAACAAAGCTAAGTCCAAAGTAGTGAGAGCTAGTGTTTAGGAAGATCCATGCCCCATGGAGAGCACAGGGTAGAGGACGCTTTTTGTGGCTACAGTTAAACGGTCTCTGGGTAGATCAGGGAAGTAAACCAACTGGGCATGATGTGATTTTGCCTTGATAGACAGAAGAACTGCACTCCGCATCTGCTACAGTAGCTGGAGGAATTGCGTTGGCTTATCATACAAGAGGTTTCGCCCGGAGCACTTGTTCTGCCCAATAGTTGAATGGTAACAAGAAGCTACTAGTTCTGGGAAATGTCCATTTTGAGAGATGCCATTCCAACAACTTGATCCGCTGATCAACAGTTGATCAAGCATCTGCTATCGCTGCTCTTTTCTCTCAAGCGATTGGTCTTTGATGGCTCGCAGGGTGGTCCAAGCACTGCATAGCAAGGAGATCCAAAAGTTCTTTTTCCCCAGTACTGACCATGAGCACCAACATGAATTCAACATATTTCAACCGTGAACAGGCTCGTTCAGGGCCACCCTAGCCTCTCATTAACGCGCGAGCATTCTTCTCTCGCACCTCCAACAAATTTGCCTCTGAACGACACCGCACTGTGGTTCACAAAAACACTCAAAGGAGATGCACTTCAAATCGCTTGTTGCTGCCACACCCCAAAACTTCGGTTCAGCGATGGTCTGCCTTGTTGAGTGATGGAAACGGACAGCAATACATGGATCAGGCTGGATGGCCAAGCTAAATAATTGCAAATGTTCAAACCACGTGCAAATAAAACGGTCTGTGAGGCATTGCTGGACTTTGTTGGCATTAACACTGCCGGTCTGTACACGCTACCGCAGGATCTCTTCCAAGGCCCTTGTCATTCCTTCCACTTTTGACAAGACCTGACGCACCGATGACTGGTGAACACATGGCGCGTTGCCAACCCCCATTCGTAGCTTCTTGCTCCTAGTAGTACGGCCAGGAGCCCCGTTCGTAGCGTCCTTGCTCCTAGGCATCTTCCGGTATTTGCGGTTTCAATATTTGCCCACGGGTGAGGGAGGAAAGCCTCGTCTGTGTCGAGTGACTGTTTTTGGTCCTTACACGCTAATAATACGCATGTTGATTGCCTGGCGCGATCGCAGGCACCACCGTGGTTTGACGCGAACCTCATTTATTAAACATTATTAAACCATGACCATGGCCCAAGCTCTTCCAACATGTCCATGAACCAACATCCCACAAGGAATGAGGGGCTGCACCCATGTCAAATGACACTGAGACTTGAAGATGATGATCTATCTTCAGAGTCTCGTTCTGCTCGCCATGAGAAGCGTATCCATGAATCTACATCATCTCCATCAGAAAAAAATTCCAGTGAGGCAGCGTATGGCAGTGTCCACAGAGAAAAGACACAAAGTGACGACTTCGCCCATGAGTATGAGGAAGTCCCATGAATGCCTACAAATTTACCCGGAGTGATCATCGCTAGTAGGTTGGAGGCCATCGCTCTTAGGTTGAAGGCTAATGCTATTAGGTTCCTTTTGCTGTTAGTAGCATCCTTGCTCGTAGTAGTAAGGCCAGGAGCCCCTCCTAGTAGCGTCCCGTAGTAAGGCCAGGAGCCCCTAGTAACCCTAGTAGCTTCTTGTTCCTAGTAGTAAGGCCAGGAGCCCCTAGTA